TTTGGCAGGAGGGTTCTGCAACAGGTAGTCCCCTGTGACATGGTTCCAAACTTGCCCACTTCCCTCCCGTAAGGACAGTGGGCTTTGGTATGTCCCATTGGTGGATTATCCATCTCCAGTGCTGGAGAAGGGGCGTTGTCTTACCTGAATGCCTTTTCTCAGCACGGAGATGGATAATCAACACCCACCCATTTAGGTCCTTAGGCCTAAGGTTAGTTTCTATGAGCCAACACATCATGCTGTCAGTCAGTAGCTGCGCCCTCGTCGAGACTGGGAAAACAGGCCCAGGACAGGCATGGCAAGTTTGGCTGACTTGATCTGATTGGGCAGGAGGATTGAGTTAACCCATTGGTGGATTATCCATCTCTGTGCTGAGAAAAGGCGTTCAGGTGAGACAACGCCCCCCTCCTCTTCCCTCTCCCTCTCTTTGTCTCCCTCCCCCTCTCTCCCCCCTTTCTCCAATCTTCTGCTCACCTGGCAAGCTGGCTTTCTCCAACAAGCTGATGCACATTCTTATTGGGTTGGCTCTTTCCTGCCCTTGGTCTGCCAATCCTCTTCCACCACTGAGAGAGAAGGGGGGGGGAGAGAGGGAGGGAGAGAGAGCTGCTGCTTTCTGCTGCTTCCTGCTTCCTGCTAAGATGCAGCAAAGGCAGGAGCCCCACCCAATAAGCTTGTCAGCTTATCCGAGCACAGCGTGAGGCCACTCTCTTTTTTACACACACACGGGGGGAGGGAAAGCGCAAGTGTCTCTTTGTCTCTGTCTCTCTCTCTGTGTGTAAATGGCGGAGGAGGCTAGGAGCCACAGGGGAAAGCTCAAAGAGCCACATGCGGCTCCGGAGCCGCGGATTGCCGACCCGTGACCTAGCTTAATGATTGTCATTCACTTCTTCATACATTGATAGTAGATCTTTCCTACTAGAACCATATTTACTCAAAAGGGAGATGACCCTGAATTTAACATATTTTCACCCTAAAAGAGAAGGCTTAAAAAAAGATACAGAATTACAGATAACCGTTGCTTAATATCTAATCGTTCAGTGACTGTTCAAAGTTATAATGGTTTTTAAAAAGTGGACTTGCGACCATGGTCACATGATAAAATTTTTGAGATTGCCTGCATTTACAACTGTCCATCACAAGTCCCCCTGCTGAACATTATTGTCTTTGCCTGCCCCCCTCCACTAGGCTCACCATCTTGGCTATGCATGGGGAAATGTTCCATAGGCCAATGATGGCAGCCCAGAGTATGAGGGTCATAAGCAAGATGGGCCTGGGGGAATGTGGAGTGCTTCTTATTTGGTAAGGTACCAATGGAATATGGCATGAGATGGGCTCCTAAGCAGGTGCTTCTTGCTGCAATGTGGCTCAAAGACTCCTTGCAATAGTTTTGAGACTACTTGAGGCAAAAAAAAAAAAATCCCCAGAGGGTGCATCCAGAAGCCCCTCAAGCCATGGTGTGGCAAACAGTACCAGAACCACGTGGCTTGGAGATTTCTTACTGAGCCATAGTTCTGGGCCATCTTTGTGCACTGCAGCAATGGTGCTTATTGGTATGTTCCAGCTCAGGAATTCTATGCCATGCTTCAGGTCTTGAGACAGCACTCCTTAGTGGAGGTAGTAAGCCCAGCAAAGGGTAGGAATAACATGATAGTGAGAGAATACAGTGGCCAATTTAGGCTGTGCAGGGCAGGCAAAAAAGATCAGAAATTGGGGGAGAGGGGGGATATAGATGGGTGGAGCAGTTGAAGGGAGCAGTCTCTTGCCTTGGAAGAACCAATTACAATTGTGGTACTAGCAAGAGACACTATATCAGGAGTCCCCAGCCTGTGGGCCATGGCCCATTACCAGGCCATGGCCTCTGGGTCACTGGGCCATGTGAAGGGATGGCTAGTGCACATGTGTGTATACTTATCCACCCCCACACCACTATGAGTGTCCCTTGGTGCTAGCACCACCCCGAGCATCCCACCGGCACTACTGCTACCCCAAGTGTCCCGCCGGCGCTAGCACTGCCCTATGCCGAGTGTCCCATCGGCATTAGCACTGTCCCGAGAGTCCCACTGGCATTAGTGCCACCCCACGTTAAGCATCCCACCTAGCACTAGCACCTCCCTGAGCATTCTGCAACACTAGCGCCTCCTCCAGCATCCTGCTGGCACTAGTGCCACCACATTTATAGCACTCGGGCACAGACCTGTTTGTGTGTGCACATGTGCTTGTGCACGGCCCATTTGTGCATGCATATGCACATATAATGGTGCCTGCTCCCTTTCTGGGCCACCAAACCAAAAAGGTTGGTTTTAGATAAGTGACCATCCAGTCTCACCTACAGTGATGAAACACCTATAACTTCTGACAGCAAGCTGTTCCACTGATTAATTGTTTTTTTAAAAACAAGGTTGTTTTTTAAAATGTCCAATTTGGGTATAAATCAGAGGATTTGCTTGTGGATAAGGGACTTTCTGACAGGTAGGCCACAGACAGTAAGGATGGGATCTCACCATTCCTCTATTCTGATATTAAGCACAGGAGCCCCCCAGGTTTGTGTGCTAAGCCTTTTCCTTTATTCCTTGTATACGCATGACTGCACCCCACTGTATAACACCAACACAATTATTAAATTTGCGGATGACACAACAGTGGTGGGGCTTATTAATAAGAACAATGAGTCTGCTTACAGGAAGGAGGTACAAGGGCTGACATTGTGGTGTAATGAAAATAATCTCACACTCAACACCACAAAAACTAAAGAACTTATAATTGACTTCAGGAGGAAGAGAGGTGTACATCTACCATTGTACATAAATGGTGAGGAGGTGGAGAGGATGGGTAGTTTTAAATTTCTGGTCACTTATATCTCAGAGGACCTCTCATAGACTATGAATGTTAACATGCTTGTGAAGAAGGCACAGAAGAGGCTGTACTTCCTGAGAATGCTCAGGAAGATAAATCTATCACAGCATCTACTTCTGTCCTACTATCACAGCACCATTGAGAGTGTCCTGACATACAGCATTCTTGCATGGTATGGGAGCAGTTCTGTAGCGGACAAAAAAGCTCTACAGAGAATTATTAAAACTGCCCAGAATATTATCGGACTCCAGCTACCAGCCCTGGACAACATCTTCGAATCTCGTTGTTTGAGGAAGTTGCATAACATTCTCAGAGACTCTTCCCATCCTGCTTACAATCTCTTTGGACTGTTGCCTTCTGGCAGAAGATATAGAACATTTAAAACTCAGACCACACATTTCCTGAATAGTTTTTATCCCAGAGCTATAATTACACTTAATAATGAACTAAAGGGCCACCACCAGTGAACTGTTCGACAGTATTATTTGGTCTGTTGGGTGGATGTTTGGGCGGTTTTAGGGGTGGGGAATTATGGTGAGTGGGAATGTGTTTGGGGATTATGTGTGTGGGACTTGGTCTTTGGGTGTCACGCAAATTTCGTTGTATGTGTATACTGTGTATAAACATACAATGACAATAAAGTTTATTTATTTATTTATTTACTGTTAGGACGTTTCTCCTTAATTCCAGATTGCTTCTCTCCTTGATTAGTTTCCATTCATTGTTTCTTGTCCTGCCCTTTGATGCTTTGGGAAATAAGTTGACTCCTTCCTCTTCATGGCAGCCTCTCAAATACTGGAATACTGCTATTGTGTCTCTCCTAGTCCTTCTTTTCTCTAGATTAGCCAAACTCAAATCCTGCAACTATTCTTCATATGTTTTCGTCTCCAGGCCTTTAATCATTTTAGTTGCTAAGAACCAGGTAGTAATGAATATCATATTGAGCATAGAGGATTTTCAGTAGATATTCTAAGCTTCTGTGAAATAGTTCTTGGCAAGTTTTCTCAGAAGTGGTTTACCATTGCCTTGTTCCTAGGGCTGAGAGTCTGTGAATGATCCAAGGCCATTCAGCAGTCTTTGTGCCTAAAATGAAATTAGAACTTGCCTTAGTATCGTAGATTTTACCCTGATACCTTTACCACTATACCAGACTGGTTCTCTTCTGAATTGTTACTGACTTTGAAATTTGAATAATGATGCATTTGAATTAGCTGCATTTTAATGCACAATTTGGTTTGGGTCCTACATTGTATGATGTTGACATAGGTATTTAGTTATTAGTTATTTGTTACCAATGAGCATCATGTGATCTTAACTGCATAATGTGGTCTTCCAATTTTTCCATAAAAAAGTTCGTTTGGTCATTTTGTCTGCCACTATATTTTACATAAACAATAAATATTTGTGAATACTGAACTCTGTGGAAACTAATTTTTGTGTGATGGAACACTGTAGAATGATTTATATGATTCTCAAATGTAGATTTATTTTAGTATATTATCAACTATTTCTTTATTCTTTGGAACATATATTTGAATAAGAAAATAACTGGTTTAATACAGACATTTATGGAAAGATCAAGAGAAGTTAAAAATGATTATTTTTGTGGTTTTTAAAGATCTTATGTAATTGAGGCACTAAGAAATAAATCATAGAGGTATTGGTATTAGAATGCTTACAAAAATAATAGCAGTTCAAGTGGTCCTCACTTAACCATTCATGCAGCGATTGTTCAAACTTATGACACCACTGAAGGAGTGATACTTATAACTGGTCCTCATACTTGAAAGGGTCACAGCATCCCTGTGGTCATGTGATTGCCATTTGTGAACTTCACTGCCAACTTTCAATGAGGTTGAAAATGGTGACCACATAACATCACGCTTAAGCACATTCTGGGATTTACTATTGGCAACTTGAATAGTTGGAACTGCCATCACTAAACTGCATGGGATATCACTCTTTACAGCTGTGTCACTCAGCAATGGAAATTTGACTCCAATTACAGTAGTAAAGTGAGAACTACCTGTGAGTAATTAGGCTGCTCTCTTTAAGAGATAGTACTGTAATAGTAGTGGAAGAGAAATTGTAGCTGCCTAATCTCTCTGTTGAACTGATCCTCTTGTGCTGTTTTGGTTCTCATGTAGATGGAGGAAGCGAGGAGCCACAAGATCGAAGGCAGGCAAGCATAGATTATTGTCCGAGTCATTCTGGACAAGGTAAGTAAACAAATGAATTTCATGTGTTCTTGCATTTCATTTTATATGAGATGTTTAATATTTATTTTCATTTGAAAGTATAATCAGCAATAATTCATGTTTTAAAAAAATTCTGACTTTCAAAGAGAGAAATGAAATGCTGTACATGCTTATCCCAAATTCTTTCTCCTAAACAAGAAATATTTATTTATTTACTTACTTACTTACTTACTTACTTACTTACTTAACTTACTTAATCTATCTTGTTTTTTGCCCTTCTTGCCAGGAGGTGACTCTATTGGTTAATACACAGGCTTTATTAAGAATATCTCAAAAATAATTAAACATGCAAAAGGTTCACAGTAAATTGAATGTTGGTAAGCTATGATTCCTGAGAAAATACCTCTTCAAAATATAGCTCAATTAATCTGTCTTGAAATTAGTGGAGTATTCTGAAGAAGGAATATTTTTTCACTTCACTTAATCAGCTCTGTGTCAGCTATCTGTATATTTTCTTTTTGTGTTCCTCTTTATACTGAGTTTTTGGGTTTTAACCAGCTACATTCATATAACATTGTTTTGAAGAAAATTTATCTCTTATAAAATTGAAGGCGTCTATCAATATTATATTAGAAAGAGTTTAGAGAATCTCTGACTTCAAAATATAGACTTCCACATCTGTATTTCTGTTAATATTTCTTAAAGATCATTAGTGAAAAGATTTAAGGTAAATAACTTCTGTTTAACTTTTGTTGACCCTTTTCAATAAAAGTTGCACCTGTCCTTCCTTAAAACATCCAGTTTAATAACTTTATAAAGAAATGGAGCATTATCTTACCTGAACGCCTCTTCTCAGCATGATAATGGAGAATCCACCAATAGGTTGATTCTGTCTTCCTGCCCAATCAGACTAAGTCAGTCAAAGTTGCCACGCCCATCCTGGTCTGATGAAGGCGAAGCTATTGACGACAGTCTGCCGTGTTGACTCCCGAGAAAAAGAAAAAACAACCCCCTGACACAGGACCTAACGGACCTTTAGAGGGATGGGTGTGGATTCTCCATCATCATGCTGAGAAGAGGCATTCAGGTAAGACAACGCTCCTTCTCCAGCATGATGGATGGAGAATACCAAAGCCACACTGTCCCTATGGGAGGGAGTCAGTTGGGGCCTGTGTCCCAGGTCCTGGCACTACATGTTGCAACACTCTCCGACCAAAGGAGGCGTCTGCAGGGGCAAACTTGTCTAGCTTGTAATGCCACACAAAAGGGGAAGGCGAAGACCATGTCGCCGCCCTACAAATGTCCTCTATAGATGCCTGTGTTGCCTATGCAGCAGAGGTGGCAGCGCTGTGAGTGGAATGTGCTGTCACATGACTTGGAACTGACAGGGAGAATGACAAATATACCCCTGATATGCAAGCCCTGATCCACCTGCCTATGGTAGAGGCAGACACCTTCTGTCCCATAGAAGAAGGTTGGAATGAGACAAAGAGGGCTTCTGACCTACGAAAGGCCACCGTCCACTTGATATAATAGCGTAAGGCTCTGCGGACGACCAGTGTGTGCCACAGCCGTCCCAAGTCATGAGACAGGTGAGGGCAAAAGTCGGGCAGAATGACCTCCTGTGTTCTGTGAAATACAGTCTTGATCTTGGGGATGAAGGAGGGGTCCAACCTGAGGACCACCCTGTCTTGTGAAAGACACATAAGTCCTTTCTAATAGAGCCACCAGCTCTGAGATGCATCTAGCTGAGGTAATGGCTATCAAGGCGACCTTGAGCGACAAGGACTGGAGAGTACAGGTTCTAATAGGATCGAAGGGTAACTTAGTAAGGGCCTGTAGGACCCGCGGTAACTCCCAGGAGGGATATCTATGAACCACGGGCAATTTGTTGTTGGTGACTCCTTTAAGAAAGGAGCGGATCATGGGATGCTGAGACAATGACTCTGATTTATCCCAAGTGACCACAGTGGATAGAGCCGCCAAATCTGCAGATAATTGGGCGTTAAGCCCTTGTTGATTCCTTCTAATAAATAGTCCAAGACTTTTGGAATGGTCACTTCTGAGAGAGTCAAGTGAGTCTTGTCACACCAGTGGCAGAAATTTCGCCAAGTGTAGTCATAAATATGATTAGTCGCTGGCCTTCTGGAGGCCTGAGTCATGTCAATCACGCCTAACAAGTATGACTTCTGTGTTAGGATCCGGTGCTCAAGCGCCAGGTGGCTAGTTGGAGCCATTGGGGCTCTGAATGGTGCAGGGCTCCCTGAGTTAGAACTATGCGACCTGGGGGTATCCTCCACGGAAGAGCCGTGGAAAGACTCACGAGGTCTGCAAACCACGGTCGTCTCGGCCAGTGTGGAGCAATGAGTATTACATCTGCTGCTCCTGCAGTATCTTTCTGATAACTGCTGGGATCAGAGGGAGAGGAGGAAAAGCATACAGTAGACCCCCTGGCCATGGAATCAGGGAAAAAATCGTGGGGGTTGAGCATTCTCCGGAGAAGCAAACAGGTCCAGGAGTGGACGGCCAAACCTCTCCGCAATCTCTGTAAAGAGACCTGGGTGCAGTTGCCATTCTGAATGGTCCACTGTTGACCTGCTGAGAAAGTCCGCCTGTTGATTCGCCTCTCCTGAAATGTGCTCGGCCTTGATGGAAAGGAGGTTGCTCTCTGCCCAAGAGCCCAGCAACTAGGCCACGGCCATGAGGGACCTGGAATAGGTACCCCCTTGCTGGTTCATATGAGCCTTCGCCGCCACATTGTCCGTGAGGACCAGCACATGTTGCCTCGCAATCTTGTTGCAGAAGTGGCGGAGAGCCAGATGAAAGGCTCTGAGCTCCAACCAATTGATGTTGTGCTTCAAGTCTAACCGGGACCATCGACCCTGAGCCAACTGAGATTGGAGGTGTGCTCCCCAGACGAACAGACTGGCGTCTGTAGTCAGGATGATCCGAGGGGGTTCTTTGGCTATTGCTGGGGAGTCCACCAATGGAGGGATTGCAGGATCTGAGGTAGAACCCTTACCTTTTGGTTGGAGGAGCTGGTGCCAGTCTCTGAAACGGGAGCAAGAACCATTTAAGTTTTCTGGAGGGTAGTCTGGCCCAAGGTATTATTGTTATGCATGATATCAACTTTCCCAACAGTTGGGAGAGCAAAGCTAGTGTCACTACACTCTCCCTGCAGACCTTGAGGACCAGGGCTCGGATGCTGTCCTGGCGTTCCCTCAACAGGTAAACCTGACAAGAGTCTGTGTCTATTACCAGGCCCAGATGCAAAAGGCAGGTTGAGGGAACCATCTGACTCTTTGAAAGTTCACCAAGAACCCATGGTCCTGAAGGGTCTTGATTGTCAAGGCCAAGTCCGACTGGGCCGCTGGAATAGAGGACGATTGAATAAGGATGTCATCCAGGTAACACTGCACGCGTACTGGCACCAACCTCAAGTGCGCAGTGAGCACAGCCAGGATTTTGGTGAAGACCCTGGGAGCCGACGAGAGGCCGAACGGCAGGGTTTTGTATTGAAAGTGACAGTTCAAGTAACAAAACCTCAGAAATTGTCGTTGATCCGGAAGGATGGGGATGTGGAGATACGCCTCCGTAAGGTCGATGGACATCATGAAGTCCCCTCGTCTGACGCTGTCCAGGATGGACTGAAGCACCTGCATCTTGAACTTCCGATACTTGAGGTGGGAATTCAGACCTTTGAAGTCGAGTATCGCCCTCCATCCCCCTGAGGTTTTCGGGACCACGAAGAGGATGGAATAATATCCTCTTCCCACTTGACCCGCTGGCACCTCCTCTATGGCTCTTATGTTTAAAAGGTGCTAAATGGCCTCCATCATGAGGCCCTTCTTTGCTGGGTTCCTTACCAGTGGACAGGAAATAAAACATTCTAGAGGGCTGGTTACAAACTCCAGAGACAGACGGTCTTTTATAGTGCGGAGCATCCAAGAATCTGTCATTGTGTTCTCCCATTGGCAGATAAAGGTTAGTCTGCCACCTATGGGAGAGCCCCCCCGAGTCACTGGGACTGACGAAAGGGACGGCCTCCCTTGCCTCGAAAGGGCCACTTACCTTGGGTCTGCTGTCGGGGCCTGTCCCTGTAAAATGAACGGTCCGGTCTAGTAAAAAAGGACCGGGATGCTTGGCCAGAGTCCAAGTCTGGTCCCGTTCGAAAGGACTGACGGCAAGCATAAGGGAAGAACCGCCTGCTCGATCTCCTGGTAAGCTGGGAGAGCACCTTTTGCTTCTCCCTATTTTCTACCAGGTAGGGAGTTAGCGCCTCCCCAAAGAGCTGCCCTCCGCTATATGGGGCTGCAGCCATCCGCCGTTTGTGTTTGTTATTCGCTCTCTAGTTCTTGAGCCACAGTAGTTGTCATGCGACGACGTTGGAGGCTATGGCTCGGGCCGAATGTCTGGCAGCATGCAGGGATGTGTCTGCCATATACTCTGAAATTGCCATTAGCTTAGTCAGATCCTGGTGGATCCTTACCTCCTCTAGAGGGATTCTGGCCTTGAGCGGTCAGAGCCAGATGAGAGAAATTCTGGCAAAGAATGAGGTGGAGGTGGCCGCTTTTGTTGCCCATGCTGAAGCCTGGTGTGTTCTGTAGAAGGAGAGCTCGGACTTTTTATCGTATGCCTTTAAAGCCTCCGCTATATCCCCTGGCAGCTTGGAGGATGAGAATAAGGGAGTTAGGGAGTTGTCCACCCCAGGCATCTCCAACAGCTCCATTAAAACTGGGGCTGTGTCAAATAATTTGCATTCTGTTCCCCCCTGGGAGGGAAGGATGCCCGGTGATTCCCATTGCCTTTGTATATTTTTGAGGAATAAAGGGGGACAGGAGATATGTTGGTGCCTGACCACTGGTTCAGAGAACAGCGGGTCCGTGTCCTGGGTAGAGGACAGTTCCGGGGTGGGGGCCAGATCCGGACCGATCTTATGTGCTGCACAGGCACTGCGGAGCAGAGATGGAAAGAGCGTGGGATTGAATAGCTGTAGGAGGGGAGGAGGTTCTTGAGGCAGT